CGAAATATCGTATATTTTGTATACATTCAAAAACGAAAAAATCTTAGGTAATTTAATTGCATAAGGGAACCTTAAAACCTGTCTAGTCAATATAAATGTCTCGGTATATACAGGGTGAGTCTAAAATAGGTGCAAATATTTTCAGGGTTCAGGGCTGGTAGATCTCGATAAAAGAAACATATTTTCTCGTTACCGTTTTTCAAATAAATCTAAAATAACCGAGATATTTTACTTTGAAAATTTCCAAAAAAAAAGATTTTTTGCTAAAGTATTGAGAACCACTGGATCTTTTCTTGATTTTATTTCTTGTAAATTTAATCTACTACTAGCATTGCCATATTATCAACAAATTATATTTTTTAAATAAAAACTAAAAAAATTTTCAAAGTTTTTTTCAAAAAATTCCAAATTTTCAATTTCTTTTTTGTGAAAAAAACTCATAATCGTGTTTTCTGGGTCGAAATATACTACTCCTAAAAATATTTGCACTTATTTAAGGCTCACCCTGTATATATGGTGTTTCAAAAAAACATGTACCATCTTTCGTGGGGAGATTCCTCACGTAAAAATTAGATTTATTTTTCATATCAACATAGGTCCAATTCTGCTTTATTTCGTAGCTACAGGGGGTTAAAGTCTTAAATTTTTTAGTGAGTATTTTTTCCATTTTTCTTCAGTCCTTTTAGCGATTCGAATGCACTTCTAGGGTAAAAGTTACTATAAATGCGATAAATGACTGTTTAATAAAATTCGTTTATTTATTTTTCAGTTCATTGGTATTTTATTAAACAGTCCAAACAGTGACTGTTTAATAAAATACCAATGAACTGAAAAATAAATAAACGAATTTTATTAAACAGTCATTTATCGCATTTATATTAATTCATTTTTTTAATTTATATTATATTTATATATCGAGCTCGAAATAACAATGTAGAAATTAGTTTAGTAAATTTAAAAAAAAATCTTTTTTGTTTTGTGTTCAAAAGGAAAGTAATGTCGTTGGATATGTATTTTAATCTTTTATAAAAGGAAATGTCCTTGTATCCAATGTCATACGATGCTAGTTTTTAAGGTCTTTTTGTGCAGAGGATGTTTTTTTGCTAATTGACTCAGTCGTAAGTTGTTTTTTTCTGTTATACAATTTTAAAATGTTAATGCCTTTTTTATTTATACATTTTAGAAACTGTCCTGATGATGGGAATAAAATTCTCGAAAGCTTGACAAATTTGAAAAAGTAGTTTTATTAGCCTATGTGGTGATTATTGACTGCATCACTTAAATTTTGAGTTTTTTTTCTTATATTTTATATAGGTATATAAAAAATATACTTAAACCATTAATAAATTCTACGTAAAAAGGTGCTTTGTAAATGTTTTCATAAAAATACAAAATTTTCCATTCCAAAAAAGTTACAGCGATTTGTTAAAAATGCACATTTTTGAAAAACATCCCGTAACTCCGAAACGGTAACATATATCGATGTGCGGTTTTCACCATCATGCATTTGATTAAAATTGAGCTCCAGACACCGATATTAGTTTTCGTCTATCTCTTATATAGAAAAGGATGTTTCCCTTTAAAAGCGTCCAATTTGGCCCACCCAGTACATGAAAAATTTGTTATATTATAATTATTCTAAAAGTGTTAAGAATAATATAAGTGATAAAATAAGATGTTTGTGAAAATTCTAAGAAAACATAAAAAGATATATTTTGATATATCAAATTTAATTTGCTTGAAAAAAAATAATAAAATAAATTGATTATACAATATAACCGCGAAAAAAAAAATGGCGTCAGTGATGGCTATGGAATGAAGATGGCTGTCATTTTATATGTAAAATTATATGGGGAATGTCATCGATGTTCATTTCCAAGCCAACTGGACGCCGTTTTTTTTCGATCATACGGTATTATCCTTTATCAGAGGTATTATCCTGGTATTATAATGCATTGACACAAATATCGATATAATGATTTAATCGATATACTGTCTACATCCCTAAGTTGAAACACTTCTCGAATCTTAGCGGATAAATACGATTCAGTTCACGAACACGAATTGTTGGTATTTGGTTGGCTGCATTGGCTGCTGTTTCTGTCAGTCAACTAACAACAAGCTGCAGTTCATAATTACATTTTAAGTTAATTTTTCTTATAAAAATACATCAAAATCTGTGTAAATATTATTTCTAATTTGTTTCTCTATCATAATAAAGTGGTAAGTGAATATATTACATTTGTCTTATTAATTTTGCGGGGAAAACGCGATGAAACGACATAGAATCAATGAGCTTTTGCTGGGGGGTTTGGCTGCGTCATGTCCATTTGCCCTAAAATAGGATGCTTTTGGTTTTTTTTCTTAACTAAAAATTAATTTATTTCTTGTTTCTTAATGAAAAGATTATTCCCATTTAATTTAACAGCAAGTTAAGATCACTTCCTTTGTTCCCGATGTTGCGAAACGCTTGAATTCACAGAACTGTTTTTTTTGTGGA